GTATACTTTATACCCATAAAAGGCCCAATTTTGGCGTCAAAAATACCATATACTCGATCTCCCTGTATACCGTATACCCTCAAACCCTCGCCGACCCTGAATTCTGCAGAAGAAAGAGCATTTAGGATCAATAAACTTTTGTTTTAGTGTCAGAATTACACAGGATTACTGAGATCGTTAGGTAACCAATGTGAAAAGGGATTGGACAGTGGTTGCCTTGCCAAGGGATGGTACCCAGTCTCCTGGAAACGTTATAAGAGGAGCGTTGGCGAGTCCAAAGAGGGCAGGAAGACAATAAACACTGAAAAGACTTTTTTTAAATACGTAATCGTATCAGAATATCGACGCTGATCACCACGCAATCTGTTTAGCTGCTTATACAAAATTTAGGAAAAAAGAATCCGAAAATTTATCTTCATTTACATTTATCTTCAGACATTGAGTGTCATTTATTCAGAGAAACAGATTTTCTAGTACTGTTTAAAAATAAAAGACTGCCATCGCTGGCTTCGATTCAAAGGTCCAGAGACTTTGTTGTTTGAAAAATAAAATATCTTGTTTAAGAAAAAAGAAAAAAAACACATGATGACAAAGTATTGACGCGTTTTCAGATAGGATTGGTTATGTGAGGAAAATAAAGTTTGTTATGGAAGCTGATACAGATACCATAGACAAAAAGCTGTTCTGAACTGAGCCAAGGGAATTTTCTGGAAAGCATTTCAGAAGGTGAATAAACAGAAGTTTCAAGAAAAATGTTCATTGCAATCGAACTTTTTTAGCACCACCCACGACATTCTTCAAGGTTCCTTCACAACGAGCCACTTTACGCTTGAGAGCCTTTCTGTGCTCGCTCATCTCCTGTTGTTCGTTTATAAAGCCTTGCAATAATTTTTCGTTTTTGACAATTTCACTCTTCACGGATTCCAGCTCTTCTTGTAACCGTTTGACCCTCTCTGTCTGTTGACCAATAGTTGTTTCGGTGTCCCTAATCTGCGCGGCCAGTTTTGGAATAGTGTTTTCCACACGGTTAAGCTTGTTGCTGTATTGGGCCATAACCACTTCCACTACGCCCTGTTTGCTGCGAGCGTCCAGATCGAGGCCCTCGGTGATAAGGAACTCCAGGAAAGAGTTGTCTGTGATGCACTTCAAAATGGTGCTCCTCTGGTCCGAGGCCCCTGTATTAACGTCCACAGATTCAGACTCGAACTGGATCGTTTCAGTGCTGGGGGAGGCAAGCGATGTAAGGGAGATGGTTTCGTGTGCTTGGGATCGTTCGCTTATCAGAGGCGTGTCAAGCATGCCACAGGTGTACAACTGGGTGCATTCAGCAGATTGTTGGATTTGTTTTCTTCGTGGATCAAATAAATTTAGCACTGCCGATCCGCGGACAGCTTTCGCTTGGGACGAATCAAAAGCCTTGCCGTGATGAGATTGCGGTGCTTCATTCTCAAAAGATTCAACTTGTTCTGGTTCGCCGACTTCGTCAAGAGTATTTTCTTCGGGGCTCTTAGCTACCCTTTCCTCATTAGGTGCTCCGCTCGGGTCCTTGCTACTGGCGCCAGTGGCTTTGGAATCAGTGGACGAGAGCGTGAAGGTGAGGGGAACTTTGGGGTCAGATGGGTCATTACCATTCCCTTGGTTAGCAGTGTCGGACACCTCGGGTCGTTTGCGTGCGACCTCACGCCTCTCTCCTCCTTCAGATGAGGTGTGCTGATCAGAGTTACCTGTGAGCGTTTCAGTCACATACATAGCCTCAGCAACAACTGGCGTGCTTATAATACTGTCAAATGGAGAGACAATCAGATTGGACTTCTGGGAGAGGCTCAGGAATGAAGGTACTTCCATTTGGGATGGCTTGCCCAGGTTACTTTCCATCGACAGGGTCAACAGATCATGCTGTCCGGGATTTGTTGGCAGTGGAGTAGTGTTAGCTTCAACGCAGCCAGCAAAGCCAGTCACAGTTTCCGTGGAAGCAGCAATCATCTCATTTGAACTGTTTTCCTCTTCGTCGATGGAGTGGGATACCTGCGGGACACAGTCAGTCTCGGAGATGACTATTGTCGGTGGTTCCCTAGAGCTCTTCTCGGGTAGTTTTTCTCCGTTGGTTGTAAATTCCTCGGAGTCCCTTGAAGTACTGGGCGACTGTGAATCCCTGTCGGATATTTCGGGTTCTGAGGTTGACGAGATTCTGCTTTCTCGCCGGCCTTCAAGCAAAACAAATCGACAATGATTAATTACATAAGGTTTACGAGCTGTTTCTTAATGAATGTCGAGGTAATCAGACTGGCCAATCGCAATGAAGTAAAGAACGAAAACAACCAATCAAGACAGGAAGTCATGATAGGTTTTGATCGTTTGTGATTGGTTAACAAAACAGCAAGTTTTCTCTGTCTGCTAGAACCATAGTCGATAGAGGAGACTTCTAACTTTGCTAGAACTTGACACTGAACGCGTTTTCACAAACAGTTTTAGAGCTTTCCACTTCGCCTTATTCAAGAAAAAACATTTTAAAGAGGCATTAACACGACAATTCTGCTGAATTTTTTGGACAAAAAGGTTTCTCGCTCATACACGAAATGCGCCTCGAATATACTGGTATTAAATGAATTGTTGAAGGGAGAGCAAACTGTATTTAGCTTTCAGCAATTTTGTAAAATATTAGGGCTAAATTTGAAAACGTCTGCCTGACCTTTTTCAGTTTGAGATCAGAACGTTGCGCACGAAAAACTCTCCGTAACCCTTTAACCGCTTCAGGGTTAGTAATAAAACCAGACTGCCGTTATTTTTTGCTCCTGAATGCCCCTTTTATTAAAAAAGAAACACGATCATGGTATACCCCATTAAGATTTCTCAGAAGAAGAGAGCATGAAGGGCGAGATACAGAGAAACCCCAGTGGATCTTATCCCCAAGGTTATCCAGCTTAAGTTATTTTTAGACATGGTGCCCAGTTCTTCCGCAGATAACTTTACCACATGCGTCACCTAGACTTCGATGAAGTCGAAAATGCGAGGAAAGCATTCCACGCGAGCAAAGTTCCCATCACAGGGTTGATTATTTGTGATGTTGGAAGTCGAGGAAGAATACGTTATATCGGTTTCGCACTCATCGGGTTCGCATCCGCATCGAGTAACTAGCGATCGATTGTTCCAAATTTATCTTTCTCTTACCGAGAAAAAAAAGACAACATTGTGGGCACAATGAAACAAAATCACACAAAACATGTTTACTTCTCGTTCTTTAATCCGTTGAAGGTGAAGGCGAACTCGAAATAGAGAGTTTATAATGAGTTCAGGGTTGCGAAGTCGATTGGGTGGGAAACGGTAGCATTCGTTATGTCCTTCAAGCCAACAGAAAGAGAATTGAGCTATTATTCATTTCTTCGTATCACTTACTTTGCTCGAGGAACTCCGGAAAAACCTGCATTGCCTTCTTACGATTTCGCTCCAACGCGATGCTCGATACGGTTTCATTCTCCTTATTCACTTTGGAAGGCACTTGACCCGGAAAGAATTTTTTCAGAATTTCTTTCATGGTCTTGAAACCAAACGCATAATCCCGCGCCAATATGTGGAAAATTGTATCTCCGTCGTTGTTTGCCGTGTTCAAGGCTTCTAAAATCTCCACCCTGGTTATTTCTCCGGCTTCTTCCAGCTCTAACATTCGATTTAACATGCTACTCATGCAGGACTGAAAAAATGTCGCACTCTTCCCCAGTCGATCATTTTGTCGATCATTCCAAATGTTTTCCGCCGTGATGTGAAAAGCTGTATCCCCGTCGTTGTCTTGGACGAACATAATCTTGGGATCAACATCAGTCAGGGTGACCAGGATTCGCTCGAATGCTCTCCTCCTGTTTTTGATAGGCCCTAGAGTGGCGGCGACTTTTAACCCCTGGGTTTTCAGAGAACCCGTGCGGTAAATGTATTGCACGGCTCCGTGTAGTGCGGTCTCGCCATTTGATGTCACCGCATGTACGTCAAAGCCGTCTTGTAGGAGGGCTTTTACTAACCCCGCCTTGCCAAACGCGGAGGCGAGGTACATCAGGGGACACCGTAGCTCCTCTAGGGGATCAGGCACTTCGCTGTTGTGATCCCAATTCCTGTATGACTCGATGCATTCCCTCAACAAGTCCGGCAGCTCGTCGGATTTTTGCGAGCTGTCCAAGCAGAGGACAGTGACCAGATCGTGGTGCTCGATCTTGCAGTTCTTGGAGCAGAATGGGGTATGGTACCTTTGAGAAACCATTGCGTAGTTTTGAAAGTGTAACAGAACGTCGTGCGCGTGCGAGGACGACAACACAAATAAATCAAGTGACTCTTCGCTAATTGATTCATGACAAGAAAACGACTCCTATGACGTGGTATTTTAGCGTGCAATTAAGTTAATCAATCAATTAAACAGAACCGTAATCCTGTTAATTAACCCCGAGAAACTAAAAGGATCACTGACAGAGGCTCTTATCGACTCACGAAAAAGTTTTCTTTCTAAAATCCAAACTATGCTTCCAACGATAGTTACTCGCCAAATTTAGAAAGTAAAGGCAATTGAGAATTTCCAAGAAGGAAGGACACTATAATAAATCCTGGTAGAAACTAAATTGTCTGTTGACTGTGGGTAATGAAGCCCAGGCTCAACCAGTTTAACCAGTGTTTTGCCGAGCACCCCTGTCATTTTTTTTTATATGAAGTCATCCACGGAAGTCAGGTGCCGACCGCACTAATTCATTTTCGTTTGAAAACGCGTACTTTTAAATGAATTTTCGTCCACCGTCCACACTAAAACGATCGAAAACGCAGAAAACCGCAAAATGCGTT